TGTTGTTGAAAAGAAACAAAAACAACATAAGAAAAAAGTAAAACCCCAACCAAGAAGACAAACAAAGATTAAAATTATGACAACAAACGAAAAGGCAAAGAGAGAACGGGCAAAAATGAAAATGTCATCTGATTCACAAAAACAAATACACAAGGTTGTATCAATTAAACAAGAAATAAAAAATGATGTTGAAATAATTCCAACAACAGAATTTAAAGAATTAATTCCATCAAATGATATAGATATTGATAAAGAAATCCCTACTGTTATAAATGTTTTGAAACCTTCTTCAGAAAAATTATCAATTATGGATTCTATGAATAACCTTAAGTTAATGATTAGTCAAATGAAATTAGAAATGAAAGATGAATTTGAAGAAGGAAGTAATGATGATGACTTTGACTCATTTGAATAATTGATCAAATACAAATTCATAACATAGATTAAAGACGATAATTTAATTCATTAATGTAGCTTTAGGTGGTTTTATTGGTTTGTGCTCATTACTATTTAATGTTTTATTCTTTTTAGACATAAAAGACCTCCAATTATTAAATCTTTGTTGTCTAGACTTTTCCCAATCTTCTTCTTGTTGCTTTTGTAATTTTTGAATTTCTTCTTGGTGTTGTAATTCTTCTTTTTCTCTCTTTAAATTAGCTTGTCTAATCTTTTCTGCCTTTTCTAACTTTATTTCAGTTTCTGTCATTATTTTTTCACAACGTTCACATAATAATTGTCGATATTCATCCGAATTTATATTTGTTTTTGATAATTCTCCTTTGTTTTTTAATTCCGTCATTAACTGAATTCTAGCTTGTTCCATGAAGTCTGTATATTTCTTTCTTTGATCTTCATCTTCTATTGCTTTAATTGCTTTAGACAAACAAGAAATAGCTGCGTTTGATAAAGGATGATGACACCTGTCTGGATGGCATTTTAATGATATTTTACGATATTTCTTGTGAATAGTATCATTATCATCTTCAGGTAAAACACCAATAACATTGAAAGGATTTTTGTATGTAGTGATTTGAGTTAATAATTTATCAATTTCTGATGGAGTAATTCCATCACTCATTTTTCTTATAGAATTAATAGATGATTTATTAAAAAAAAGCAAATTATTAGGTTCAAATAGATAAAAGTAAAAGAATAAAAAATTATAATATCAAAAGTATATCATTCTATTACATTAGTTCTTCTTCATACTCAGATAATAGAAGTGCACCAATAGAGCCAAAATACCCATCATATTCAAGAAAGTTGGCATCAACTGAACCTGAAGACCATGTTGTTAACATTGTAGTTATTGCTTCCCAAACAACTGGGTTATGAGCAACAAATCCTCCTGTATAAAAAATACGATTAATATGATGAAGTTTAGTTAATTCAAATCCAAGATGTGCAATACTTCCACATACCATCATCATTAATCCTTGTGCAATATCAGCTTCACTGTAATGGTTTTTTGCCTCTCCACATGGTACTTTTTGAACTTTACCAAAAGAAGATGCCATCATATCAGCAGCAAGTCCAACACTATCATAACATCTCCCATAAATATCTTTAACATATAAATCAACATTTTGGTGTTGTCCATATTGTGCAGCTTGTAACATTTCATCAAATGATTTATAATTGGTTAATAAACAACATAAACCCCAAAATGTTCCACCTCCAATTAATGAACCTGAAACACGTTCATATTTCTCTGGTGCAGTAACCTAAATAAATAAACAATCATTTCTTCTGGACATATTCTTAAATACATAATATTGAATTTAACTTTGTAATTGAAATGATGAGATTAACAAACTTTGAGAATAGATACTCCACTTCCAACATTAACAAGTAAATATGGGAAAATCTCAGGAGTTACTTCCCGATATAATTTTGTTTTATTAACAAATCTAAAACATAATTTCTCTTGACAACATAATAACAAAAAATTCACTCCAAGAACAAGACATCTCATTTCATCTTGTTGACGTACTTCAAGATCCATTTCATCTTTTAACAAATTAGCAAATTTATAAGCACCACCTCCTGTCACATTTAAAATCTGAAGATTACCAATCCCATAAATTTCTTTTAATTTAGATGTTTTTGCATAATGAATAAATTCTGGAATTTGTAATGTTGGAAATTTCATAAAACAAAGCTCATTTTCCCCTTTTGAATTCACTTAAACTTATTATTGTTATTCATTTAAAATGACTCCTTTAATTTATAGAGTATAATGAATTATAACAAAACAAACTAGTGACTTTTAACACTGGGTCGGGGTATAAGTCAAACCCTGACATTACTGATTCTTCTGGTTCAACATATTTTGGAAGATCAATATCAGTATCCCCTGGAATCCAGAAGACTATTTTTGTCATTGTTCCTCCTATGTCAGCTGAAAGTGGTGCAGTTCTTCTTCTTACACCATTAAGTGGTAAAGGACTTTGTGTTTTAGTAAATTCATATTGCTCAAAGTTATGAGTTATATGATCATCATGTTCTATATCTTCATTAAAAAGAACATCGTGTTTTGATGGTATAGAATGGGATGGTTGAGACATATTTGATAAATACTTATATTATCAAGATGTTTCACTGAGAAAATGATTGTTTCAAAACCCAAAAAAACGAAAATCTTTAAAAATTCCATTGTTCATTTTTGTTTTTGAAACGAAGGATTTTGTTTTTCTGAGAATAGTTTTTTCATTTTTAGAAATTCTAAAAAAGCACCAATAAGATTGAATCAAATTTTCAAAAATCTTTTTTTCATATCGAACTATAAATATCAGTGAGAGATGGGAAATAGATTATCACATGTCAAAGAACTTTTTGACAAATTAGACAATGGAGGAAAAGGATATTTAGTTCTTTCTGATTTGGTGAGAGAAGATATTATGATTCCCACTGTCTGTCATTCACCAGTTATGATGTTTTTAGTTTGATTTTTTTAATTTTTAGAATATACATTCATTTAATATAATCTTTTTAACATTTCTTTATGAGAACTCAACTTTTTATCTTCTCAAAACAAATACATCAAAAAAGAACTAATAAATAGTATGACTCTGGAGGAGATGGAAAATTAACTTTTGAAGATTTTAAACGATTAATAGACAACGTCCAAGACCTCCAAAAAAGAGCAGAAGAAAAAGAGAAAGAAAAAATCAAAGAACGTGAAACAAGACAAGTTTTACCTAAAATGAGACTTGGAGATAATTCTGTTGATCCATTTACTGTTAGTAAAACACCAACTCTTCTTGAAAATAAAGAAGGATCAACAACAAATTTAAATTCACAATCACTTTCTACACCTTATTTAACTCCATCACAATCACCATGTCCTATGTCTCCTGTTAATTCAAATAATGCTATTTCAGTACAAACACCTCCTAAACAAATTATTAAAGGAGTATCACAAGGTATATCATTAATGTGGTCATTATTTGATAAAGAAATGAAACATCAATTTCTTGGAGTAGTTGCAAATGATCAAAAATGTAAAGCATTCAATAGATATCTTTTTAATTTGATTGATACGAAAAAATGTGGAAAAATAGATATTGAAGATCTTGAGTTTATGTTAGATGTATTAAATGATGATGGAATAACAATTGAAAATATTTTATATGAACTTCCAGAATCTAAACCACAAACAATTTTTGAAGAAGCTGAATTATTGTTTCAAACATATAATTACAAAGGAAATGATTATCTTGGAATAGCAGAATTTTCATTATTAGCAAATTTAATTACAAAGAATTATAAAATGAAAGCTGAAGGAAATGATATTAGACTTGTAGGAAGATATGAATTACAAAGAAAATTAGGAGAAGGAAGTGAAGGATGTGTTAGATTAGGAGTTAATAGAAGAACAGGAGAAAAGAAAGCAATTAAAATATTTTATAAGTCAAGAGGAATTAATTTAGAACATCTTGAAAATGAAATTGCATCATTAAGAAAATTAAATCATCCTAATATTGTTAAATTAGAAGAAGTTATTGAAAATGATGAACAATTGTATTTTGTAATGGAATTATGTCTTGGTGGTTCTTTAGCTGAACATGTAGCTATTTCACCATTTAGTATTCCAGTAGCAAGAAATTTCTTTAAACAATTATTAAGTGGAGTAAAATATTGTCATGATAATGGTGTTATTCATCGAGACTTAAAATTAGAAAATTTGATATTAGACAGAGATGGAATTAATTTGAAAATATGTGATTTTGGACATAGTGTAGTTGTTGTTTCTGATTGGGATTTTGTAGAATCAGCTGTAGTTGGAACATTATATCATATTGCACCAGAACAATTACAAGATCATTGTTATAGGGGAAAAAAAGCTGATATATGGAGTATTGGAGTTATATTAGTAAGAATGTTAACAGGAAAATATCCATTTTATTCAAAAGACCCAGAAGAAACAATTAATTTAATAAAGAATGCAGTTTATTCATTACCAGACAATCTACCACCAGATATTCAAGAACTTATTTCACATATTTTTGTTATTGATCCAGAACAACGATATTCTATTGAACAAGTAATTGATTCATCATTTGCTAAAAGTGATATTGTTATGTCATTGTCATTTGTTAAAAGAAGAATTACAATTGATCCAGTTGTTGTAACAATTGATAATGCATGGAATTTAATGCATTCTATTCTTGAAAGCAATCATGTTATGTGTAAACGAAATACACATACATGTTATTCAATGTATTGTTATCAAATTCAAACACAAATGAAATTTATAGTAAGTTATAGAGTAGGACAAACACCAGGATCAAATGCATATTTTGAATTTTTAATGACTGATGGAGGAGGAATTGATTTTAGAAATTTAATGGATAATATTAAAAAGAGTTTCTTAGAACAAGTTGATCCATTACATATTGAAGTTGTAGAAAAGAAATTAGATTCATTATTATTAGAAAGTAGTCAACCATTATTATCTAGTTTTAGAAGAGCATATGAAGAAAGTGTTATTAAAAGTAGAGTTGGAGTGTTGTTATGTGGAAAAAGTGGATGTGGAAAAACATCATTAGCACAAAGATTTTTTAGTAATAAATTACAAGTTGGAGAAGTTAGTCCAACTAAATATTATACAAAATATATTCATACAAATAAACCCATTGTATTATATGATGCTAAAGGAATTGAACTAAGTACTGAAAATGGTTTTTGGGAAGAAACAAGAGGATTTCTTGATGCTCACAAAGGAATTGATCGTATTCATTGTGTATGGTATGTTATTGATGCAACAACATCAAGATTTGATGTTACAGATGAAGAGATTTGTAGAACATTATTTGACATTCCACTCATTATTATTATTAATAAAGCAGACTTAGTTAGTGATGAAACACTAACAAAAATGAAAAATAAGATTGAGTCATTTAAATTTGAGAAGTGTGTTGGAGTTGTTGCTACCGTTTCTTTGGCTGAAGAACAAACAAAACGAATTAGTATTACTAAATGTAGTAAATGTCATAGTAATGACATTTACATCTTTATCAAAGAATGTGTTGTATTTTGTAATAATTGTGGATATGAACAATCAATAGTAACACGGCCGAATGTAGACGAATATGATAAAGTTATTGAACTAACAATTAAACTCTTACCTGAAGCAATGAAATCAGGTTTTGTTTCAGGACAATCATTATCAATAACACATAAAATTGAATTGAGTAAACGAATGATTAGAGAGTATCATTCACAATTAGGAAATGATAATGACCTTGAACTAAAACGGGTCATGAGTTTATTAACAAAATTAAACAAATTATGGGATCTTGAAGATTACCACTCTGTGAAAATAGCAACTAAAGTTATTCAAGACTTTTTATTAAAAGGAGTTGTTGGAACTTCAGTTGCAAATTTCTTTGGAGACACACCAATTTTCCAACCAGATCAATTTACAGCAATATGTATTGTTTGGGTACAATGTTTAGTTGACTTACACTTCTTAATGATACAAGAGATACTCAACGTAGAAAAGGTAGAAAATGTGGATGCTGTTATGCAAAAAATAATGGAACAAGCATTTTGTAAATTACAACAAAACTACGTCAAAGGGATTGAAACTGATTTAGTTAAAAATGGATTAGAAGCAGTTTTGGCGAAGTTTTAAATGACAAAAGAATAGTTATTTAGATTGAGTATTATTATGTTTCTATTTTTTTTTTCTTTGGATTGAAGTATAATTTTAAAACTAAGTTCAAAATAAAAAAAAATAAAACAAATAGAAAAAAAAAGAAATTCAAAACGTCACTTTTATTAATGATTGATAAATATTTTTTTTTTACTTAATAAAAAGAAGTATGATTATATTTTAATATACAACATCAACGTAAGATGGTTTGGAAATTAACAACATTTATTCTCATTATGAACTGTTTTAATAGTAATTGGTTGGTCTTCCGTTGCAATAGCTGACTCAAAACAATTTGGTTGAAACTCTTTATATTCAACAGCAGTATTTGATTTTATTCGTTGGATAAATTGTTGTGCAATGAAAACAAATATTTCTTCAATATTCTTTCCATTTACTGCACTACATTCAAAATACCGTAATGATGGATAAGTAGCTCTAATAACTTCAATTGGAACTGTTCGTGCATTTGACAAATCAGACTTATTACCTACTAAAGCAATAATTGGACGATTATTATCTTTTTCCATTTCACTTAACCAATACCCAACCTATATATTTTAGTAAATACATTTTATTTTTTTTATAACTAACTTATTAAACAAACCATCTCAAAAGACGTTTTATCAGTTAAGTCAAATACAATAACAGCTGCATGTGTTCCACGATAATATGATTGTGTAACACTTCTAAATCTTTCTTGTCCAGCTTTTTAATATAAATATTTTTGTTCACAAAAATGACATACTTTATTATAACAACAAACCAGCATCCCAAATTTCCATTATAACTTCTTCTCCATTAATTTCAACTATTTTTGTTTTTAAATCAACACCAACTGATGCAGTATATATTCCATCAAAAGTTCCTTGTGTAAGACGTTGTAACATAGCAGTCTTACCAACTCCTGATTCACCTATTAGCAAAATCTTAGCAGTAGTTTTACTCATTTTCTACGTAATTTTCGTGATAACTTTTCAAGTTCATTTTTTATTTCTTTTTTTTTT